TTTTTTTTTGGTACTGGGGATCAAACTCAGGACCTTGTGCTTGCGAAGCGGGTGGCAGAACCACTGAGCTAAATCCCAGGCCCCTGATTATCTTTTTATTGATTGCCATTTGAAAACTTGCTGTTGGGAAATAATATACATGTAGGATTTAGGGATGCCAGTCAAAAAACTGTATTTTAAGAAGTATATTTTATTTACTGCACCTTCTAAAGCCAAATATTCTTGCACAAAAAGGATTTTTGTTTTAGTTTCACTTTTTTCTGAGGGTCTTTCTTTATAGTTTATGACATTTGCCTGTCAGGCTACTGTCCTGGAGTGGTCCACCTTGGCTGACTGCTGGGCAGATGAAGCAAGGACACCAAGGTCCCCATACTGACCTGGCATGTTGAGAGCACAGGGTGAAGAAGAAAGCAAGGGAGGAGGGTGGCTGGACTCACATGTGGACTGCAGGCCTCCTGAGACCGTGTTCACCAGGGCCTGTGATGTGGTGGATGCCAGTGTCACCTGGAGTCAGCTGTGATGTCTAGAAGGTACCACAGGCAAGGTGGAATCTCCTCAGAATGGAGGCTCAGAGACTAATGCCTTGTTTAAGGTTAGCACCAAGTGTGGTGATTTTACTGGGATGTTTTCCACCTAAGGTGCTGATGCTGCAGACTCTTGACTGGGAGAGATGAGGTCTTTAAACTTCCCCCCTAGTTACTAAGAAAAATCTAAAATAATACTTATTGTTAGGAATTAGAAGGAAGAGAGGGAAGGAGGTCCAGTAGTCTCTGAAACAAAGTTCTGGAGTTACTGATCAGTCCCACTGTGCACTATCAGTAGATGGTTTGTATCTATTTTGTGGAGAAAACAGTAAGGAATTTTTAAGCTGTTTATGTTCTTTTGTAATGTACTATTGGAAGGTTAATTCATATGGTTAAAGTAGCATTAACTACAAAGAAGTTTGGTGTTTTAAAAAAAAATTCCTTAGCAAGTATTGTAATTTCTTAAATGTATATATCATTTGTACAGGGTTAATCTTGAAATAATACTTGAAACCTTCATTATAGATATATCCTACTTTTTATCTAAGTTGGACATTGTTTTTGACTAAATTGTTCTCGTACCGTTAGAAAAGAAATAGTTATTTGCCTTCTTATTTATTTTGGTTACATTATCTTTTGTTTTAGTCTTAAACCAGGAGGTAATCCTTGGGTGCATTCTGTGGCAAAGCTGCCTTCTGAGCTGCTGTGCACAAGCTACCCTGACTCCTCCATTCAGGAAAAGTGGCTCTGCTTGCGCCACTTAGTCCCTCAAACCTGGCTCCACCTCTGGCCTGTGTCAAACCCACTGCCTGGACCTCTTGGTTCCAAGGGCCTAGATGTCTTGGCCCTAGCCCGGTCTTCTCTGTTTGTTTTGTACACTTCTGCAGTTCTGGGACTTGAGGCCTGTGCTCAAGCTGGTGCTCCTTTCGTGCTTCCTTTCAAAGTTATCTTGAAGAGAGGTTAGGTTTGTAAATGGCCTGCTTTTGATCACTGAGGGATTTTTCCTATCTCCAGGGGACTCTACTGCACTTCTACCTCCCAGAGCTAGATTCTTCAGTGACTTCAGTGATTGTGCTGTGGGCACAAGTCGGAGTTGTGAGATTCCCATGTGGGAGACCAGTCATGTCTAGAGTACTACTGCGTGAGCTAGCTTTCCACTGCAGTGTATGTGTGCACATGACTCATACACACAGTCTCTTTATTGTATGCTATTGCAGGGATTACTGGCTTGGGCACTTATGAGGTCATTCCTTGTTTTTCTTATGTTCAAAAGAAAATTCACTTCAATGTGGTTTCTGTCAAGTACTTTTCATGGTATGTCAGTCAATGCCACGGATCTTACAATTTATACACCTTTGTTCTACTCGTTGGAAGAAGTACCAGGCAGTGTTTTCAGGAGGATGTGAAACTGGACTCGTTCCTAGGTCCAAGGGGCAGGATTGGCCTTCTAAGAAGACACTATTGTACACCACATCAGGATTTTGTGTTAAAGTCTTTCTCAGTTTAAACTTCCTTTCCTTGGTATAGGGTTACTGCAAAAGCCATGAGCCTACAGAATAACAATGACATATATTACTCCTATTTCCATGAGCTTTTTTAACAAAAATTTAAGCGTCATGTGTAAAGATTTTGGGAGTGAAGAGGACCTGCATATTTCAAAGGGAACTGACTGGGGGCATTCCTTTAAAGTACCTTTGACATAAATGACTCTGTGGTACAAGTTTTACTCTTTCTCAATCTGTGGTGGGCTCAGCTTCAGATAGGATCCTTGAGGGGTGTTTTCAAAGGTCTCAAAGTTTAGAGGTTTTTAGTTACTCATTTCTGTAAAAAAGATTCCTCACAAAATAGAGTTGGTCAGAATGGGACAGTTCTGGGGAAGTGTCACCATATGTAACAGTTTGTACCTTTAAGAAGCATGTTGATTTTTTTATAAATATGAACGTGCTTGGGAATTCCTTAAATTTTGTGCAATAAACTATTTTTGGTAAAGGTTTTCACATTTCATTTTAATAGTTATATGTCATATTTTGGATTATCCTTTTTAGCTCATGTGGTTGTACGCCTTGTCCAAGTATGTTTTAATAGAGAATTCTATTCTGACAAAGTTTGAGGCAAGATGAAATCTAACTCCTTGTTGCTTTAGAACAGGCAAGAGCAGCAGGTTACATGCTTCTCCCTCTTTGATCTATATTCACCATTGCCATAGGCTGGGAGCCCAAGGGAGAGTGTGCTGAGGGTACAGCAGGCGCTGAGCCTGCCCGGCCACTCTGCTGCTCATCTCAGTTCTGTGCCTGCCAGTTCCTCTTCATCATCCACCCCTTATTTTAGATCTAAAAGCTAGCCAGGTATAGAGTCTTCAGCTAAATGCTACCATTAATAGTATTAATAACCCATGTGTTTTTTGTTTTGTTTTTTGAGACAGGGTCTCACTATGTAGTTCAAGCTGGCTTTGAACTGTGTAGCCCAAGCTGGTCTCAAACTCACAGCAATACTCCTGCCTCATCCTCCTGAGTACTGGGATTACCAGCATGCACCACTACACTTGGCTAACCAACACATTTTTGCAAAGTCTAGAAAAGAAGGAAACAAGTCGTAAGACTTTGACTTTGACCCCATTCTTTTTTCCCTGTGGCTCTATTGTATCAGCTTTGATAGGAGGGTCAGGCAATGAGTATCCTCTACAGTCTAAATGAAAATCCCCTGATCGCCTTCTTTTGTGGCCTTAACCTCCTGAAATATGGGAAATGCAATATATTTTGTCTGCAATAACTCTTAAGGGGCTTGTATGTGTCTGAACTTTTTGCTTTTGTCTATAAAGTTGCTAAGCTTCTGCAGGCACTGGACTAGTTGGCAGATATATTTTCAGGCTATATCTGCATCATTCAATAGATGCTCCATACTCCATCCACCTACAGGTTGCACAGTGGCCACTGTGGGAATGACTAGCAGATTGTAGTAGCCACTTCCTAGCACAGAGTGGTGGCAGCAGTGACTAGGAACCCTGGGGGAGCTCAGGTTTTTAAAATCTCCAGGTCACTCAGCATCTGACCCCTCATGCAATCCCAGGAAGCAGATGATGGGGGAACCTGTAAAATGGGATTATTTACACCTCTACCATCGAGTTTGCTGGATAAACAAGATAGTTGCTAGAAAGGTCTCCAAGCCTTTCCTAGATAAGGAGGAATTCTTAGCATAGCAATCAATAGCTCCTAAAAGCAGAAGCATTTATTGGAATTCTGCCTGCCGTTATGCATGTTTTCACTCAGCAGTGACTGTTGCAGATCCTGATGAATCAAAGTATGCTTTGATAAAGGTCTTTTTTTCCTGGAAGCAATGGGCACTATTAAACTATGTTGCCAAGCTGTCTCTGCCATTCTTTTCGATACCCTTATCCACCTGTTTTGTGGGGGATATAACTGTTGCCATCTCTATCCCCACACCCGTAGGATGGGTGGGCTCAAAACTGGATCCACCACACTGACCATCTGCATTTCTGGGTGGGGAACAGGGCTGACACCTCCTGAAGACAGCTCCCAGGCAGGGTGCTCAGCTGTCCAGCCCTCTTCCACCCAGGAATCCACAAAGGATACTTTGTGTTTTGCACATGACTGTCATGTCTGAATATCCTGAAGTGTGCAGATCTGCTGAGGGGCAGTCCCAGCTCCCCACCTCACAGGAAGCTTCTTGTGTGGTAAACATCACTTCTCAACATCAAACATATACTTTCAGAGTTTCCCCAGTACCTAGATGCCTTTTCAAGGTCTGTTATGAGTTGGGGAGACCCTTTGTGGGCCATCTCTGATTCTGCTTCCTGTGACTGCCACCCAGGCTGCCCAGCCCCTCCCATGGTACCCATGCTGCTCAGCTGAGGAGGAGCCAGCATGTTCTGCCAGAGAATCTCAGTCCCCTGAGTCCCCCGGCCTGAGCTCTGTTTTCTCTGTGCACAACATACTATGTAACTAGATTTCCACAGGCTCAAAACATTGCTGGTAACAATTTCAATGGACATATATTTCTTTTTCTTGTTTGGTATAGGGGATGGTACCCAGGGCTTTTGCATATATCTTTTTTTTTTTTTTTTTTTTTTTTTTTTTGAGACATGGTCTCACTATGTAGTTGAGATTGATCTGGAACTCACT